AAAGAAATAAATAAAAATGAAGATCAAAAAGGTTGAAAACAGTGATGTTCTCCCAACCTAAAACTTATTTAAACTCAAAGTATCTACAACCTTAGTAGGAAATAGATAATTGCAGCTGTTTCACTCTATATACTTTTCTTCATCTGATAAATGCCTACTCATTTATCCATTAAAGTTTGTCTCAACACTCATCTCCTTTTTGAAACCTTTCACAATTCTCACTACAGAAATTCTCCTTTCCCCGAGATCTCACACTACTTGAACATCTTTATTTTGCATTGCTTTAAGTCACTTTAATTGTATATCATAGTTGTTTATGGGTGTGTCTCCCTGAGTAGACTGTGAGCGCCTTCAAGCACAAACTGTATTTTATAACTGTTTTTCCAATGTTTGGAATAGTGCTAACATATATATTAGGCAATCAGTATATGGAATGAATAAATGCTTGTCAAGTAATTGTCTTGGTAATTTCCCAGCTATGTTTAGTTTCATACTATTATTTGACTAGTGGTAGACTGCCCCCAAGTTACTGGTCCTAGTCTATTCTACCAATTCTAAAGTTATGCACGATGGATAGCTTCTTTTTTTTTTTTTTTTTTTTTGAGACAGAGTCACGCTCTGTCGCCCAGGCTGGAGTGCAATGCTGCGATCTCAGTTCACTGCAACCTCTACTTCCTGGGTTCAAGCCATTCTCCTGCCTTAGCCTCTCGAGTAGCTGGGATTACAGGTGCCTGCCACCACGCCTGGCTAATTTTTTTGTATTTTTATTAGAGATGGGGTTTCACTCTGTTGGCCAGGCTGGTCTTTAACTCCTGATCTCTTGATCCACCCACCTCGGCCTCCCAAAGTGCTGGGATTAGAGGCATGAGCCACTGCACCTGGCCTGATGGACAACTTCTTAAAGATTTCTATTTCTATGGAAAATAAAAGACATAATAAAAGAACAATACCTAGGCAAAGTTGTCTCAGGATAGTGTTAAAGACAGCTGTGAAAATATAAAGTAGTCATTTGGATTACATGTTCCAAATTAAGACCTGTGCATTAGACTCTTTTTTTTTTTAGACAGAGTCTCCCTCTGCTGCCCAGGCTAGAGTGCAATGGCACAATCTCGGCTCACTACAACCTCTACCTCCAGAGTTCAGGCGATTCTCCTGCCTCAGCCTCCTGAGAGGCTGGGATTACAGGCGCCCACCAACATGCCAGGCTAATTTTGTATTTTAGTAGAAATGGGGTTTCACCATGTTGGTCAGGTTGGTCTTGAACTCCTGACCTCAGATGATCCACCCACCTCGGCCTCCCAAAGTGTTGGGATTACAGGCATGAGCCACCGCACACAGCCCTGTGCCTTATATTCTTGTATCTGCAACTAGCAGAAGTTTGTGAAATAACATACATATTTAGAAAAATCACGTGGTACCATGACAAACCTGTCATTGCCTTCTTTTCAAATCCACCTGCAATTCAGTAAAGAAGAAAGGAGCTTCAAAGGAACACGGTATGAGGAGTGACCAGAAAGGATCTTAATACAGGGCAGTGGTAGTAACATGGTTAACCATTTGGAACTGCTGGTCAAGTGATGGTGTTTGAGATAGAGGAAGGCCAACAGCCAGAAAATTTCATGAGGAAAGAGACATTAAAATGTTTTGATACGTTTAAGGGCCGGGCATGGTGGCTCACGCCTGTAATCCCAACACTTTGGGAGGCTGAGGCCGGGGGATCACTTGAGGTCTGGAATTTGAGACCTGCCTGGCCAACATGGTGAAACCCTGTCTCTACTAAAAATACAAAACTAGCTGGATGTGGTAGCGCGTGTCTGTAATCCCAGCTACTCGGGAGGCCGAGGTGGGAGAATCGCTTAAATCGGGGAGGTGGAGGTTGCAGTGAGCCGAGATCGCGCCACTGCACTCCAGCCTGGTAACAGAGCGAGACTCCGTCTCAAGAGGAAAAAAAAAAAAAAAAGCTTACAGTTCCATCAACTCATGAAATAGTTCTTAAAGCTTCTTATACATGTAAGGTCTCATCCCAATACAGACATTTCTGTTATAATACCAAAACGCTTTCCTGAAAAACCTTACTTTCTGCAAGATACATAAAAATAAGAGGTGCTTATGCAATCAACAGGATTAAGGGACGGACCATTCAAAACCTACAGAACATTATAACCAGGACAAAATAAAACCAGTACCAATTCTAATAAAAATACTACTTTTAAATCTCTACTAGTGTAACCTTAAACCCCAAGACTTGTACTTTCTTCTTGAGATGTAGTCTTTAAAAGCACTGCTTCTCATAAACCATTTTAATCAAAATAAAAAATCAGATCCATGATATAGCCTTCATTAATCCATTGTTTTAACATAGGGAGAATGTAGCTTCTTCATCTGCATTTTTCAGCTTTATCAGACAGATTAACTTCAGGGGCTTCCCGCTGCACTTATAATAGAACTAAATGTCTTACTTTTCGTGGTCCGGAACAGCGCTGTCCAACAGAACTTTCTGTAATGATAGAAATGTATCTGCACTATCTAAAATGGTAGCTGCAGCCACATGTGATGATTGAGCACTTAAAATGTGGCTAGTGCAACGGAGGAACTGAATTTTTACTTAATTTTACTTTAACTCAAATTTAAATAGCCACATGTGGTTAGTGACTAACACATTGGACAGTATAGCTCTAGGGCTTATCCTCTTACCAACTACACTATGTTTTGCAATTTCTTGCTATCTTGGTAGCCAAGATGAGGTCTGTAAGATACCCCCACCACACACACCCGCATCTGCATTACTTTTGCATTCTCATTTTTCATGACGCTCCCACTCTTTGTCTACTTTCTGATTATGATTTTTAAATTCCTCTAATATGCCATTTTATTTCTATCTTCTGGGCCGAAGAACATGTTGTTCTCTCTTCCCTCCTCGCCCTAATCCTTAGCCTAACTTCTCATTTTTCAGGTCTCAGTCAAAGCGTTACTTTCTCCAAAAAGCCTCCGCTAACCCCCGGCAACCTATATTAGGTTCTTCCCACTCTTCTGTTGTCTGTCTAAAACTCTTTTCCTTGCTAACACTTAAAATTTGTGATCATCAGTTTATCTATGTTTACTGACTTTCTTGACTGCAGAAGCTGAATCTGTTTTGTTTACCACTGCATCTCGGTACCTAACGGAGTGCTCGGCTAACAGTATTTGTGAGAGGGAAAAAATGAAAGACTGGGCCACATCATCAGGACATCCGACCTCCAACAACCAGAACTTAAAAATCCTCCTAGCCCCACCACAAGGCAGATCCGCGTCCTCGCTCCCCAAGCAAAGTTGGCCTCAACTGATCTGGAGCAAGGACGCCTCAGCTCAGTACGCCGCTCCCTCCCTCCCCTCCAGCCAGGGAACAGAGGCCTACGTAACCTCCGCTTCATCCCTTCTTCAAAGGGGGAATGAGGCAGCGGTAGAGCCACTGTGAGCGTCGGCCAGCACGTACCTTAGACATCGAGGACGTGGCCATAGTCTTACTGGCTCTGCGGATTCCAGATGCACTCGGGATTTCCCGCGCGCCCTCGCGCCTGCAGGGCAGAGGTTAGTGGCGCGTCACGCAGCTTCTTGATTGGCTGGCATCACCCTCCAGGGCGGGCTTCCGGCGCGAGGGGCGGGGCGTTTAAGGAGGTGAGGCGAGGCCGGGACTCGCGGGCTGCGGCGCACTTCCTTAGAGGCGGACATGGCGTGCAGCTTTCGCAGGGCTATAGCTTGCCAGGTATGGATCCCGGAGCGCGCAGGGGAGTCCATGCGGAGCTAGGGACCCCAAAGGCCTTTCACTGCTGCGGGCCAGTCCTCAGTCAGCTGGAGGGTGGGTCCTACAGAATTCTGTTACTTTCTACCACCTCCTCCCCCTTCTCTGGAGCTGGTAGGGCTCCAGAAGTCCTGTGGGGGGTCGGCTGGGATCAGTTTGTCTTGGTGAAAAGTAAACTTTGAAAGGTGCCTGGTGCTTCACTCCTTCCCACCCCACAGCTTAGTATGCTTTACCTGGGTGGAAAGTCATTAGACCATGATGAGACCCCATAGAAGTTAGTGTTCTTTACACTTTAATGACGTTAATGATGGATGTGGATTGTTCTTCAGAGGGAACTCATTTTAAAACTGCTTATTTCTCTTGCAGTCACTTAGGTAGTCAACCCTAGAATTATTTTTGGTAATTCCCAAAGATATATGAGCTATCTGAGACTCAGTTTTTCTTGGTTCAGGGTCATATTTGAACACCTCTGTTGTGAGGAAGGGCTTACAAAATTGCAATATACTTGCTTTGTTTTGTTTTTCCTCTTTGTGGAGAACGGAGTCTTGCCATATTGCCCAGGCAGTCCTCAAACTCCTGGGCTCAAACTGTCGTCCCTCCTCTGCCTCCCTAAGAGCTGGGATTACAGGCATGAGCCACTGCGCTGGGCAAAATTGCAGTATAAACGTGTAATTCATCAAAAAGAACTTTTTAGGACTCACTGGCCACCCTTGGAAGAAAACTTTCTGTTGTGGTCTCGACTAACCCATTTCCTTCTGATTAATGGATGTATTAGTGGACGTAATTAGCCTGGTGTATAATTTATCTTAGCTCATTTTTACAGTGTTTCTAGACATTTGTGGGGAAATCCCTCTGCCTTGTCTTTATGCTTATAGATATACTGTCCTGTCCAGTGATAATTCGCCAAATATCACCAATATGACATTTTGTTAAGACAGCTGAATTTATTGCTTACTGGGATAAGAAAGAACACTGCTTAGAGCTTTGGTAGTGTATTAAACTGGGAAAGCAAGGTCAGATTTTACTGATGGGTACGGCTTAAGGCTGGTCTTTCAGAGGCAGAGGGTAGGAGGATGTTGGAGGAAGATGGCTTGATTAGGATTGGAAACTGATCTGATACAGCAGTTTAAGATTGGTAGCAAAAGCAAAGACTGCAAGGAGCCTTAAGGCATAAACTGTTGAGGTTTTCTAAATTGGAAGAACTAATAGACCTGGCATGTGGCTCAGCTGCCTATAATCCCAGCACTTTGGCAGGCCGAGATGGGAGGATGGCTTGAACCCGGGAGTTTGAGACCAGCGTGGACAACATAGGGAGACCCCGTATCAACAAAAATTTGTTTTTATAAAAAGTAGACAGGCCTGATGGTGCACCTCTGTAGTCCTAGCTGCTTGAAAGGCTGAGTCTGGAGGATCACTTGGACGGCCCCACGAGTTTGAGGCTACAGCGAGCTGTGATTGTGCCACTGCACTCCAGGGGGGCCACAGAGTGAGACCCTGTAAACAAAAAATAAAAGTAAATCCTGTGAAAAGCTAATAGATTTATCGTGAAGTTCTTATAATGAATGATTAAGTTATTTGGGCAGAAGTCTTCTAGAACAGTAAAGTTATGCCAATGAGACAAAGAAATAATAAATTCATGTTAATGTAGACAGTAAACCATATCATGGCAGGTAGTTTTGGACCTTAGTATATAAGCTGTGTGTAAGGGTAGATGGTTTCCATTCTTAGCCCTTAGATCAAGGTGGTGCCATGATGAGAAACAAATTGTGTTTAGTTTTGCAAAGACTGTGTTCTTTGTAAAGAATGTAAATTGGGCCAGGCATGTGGCTCACACTTGTAATCCCAGCACTTTGAGAGGCCAAAGTGGGGGATCCCTTGAGCCGGGATGTTCAAGACCAGCCTGGACAACATAGGGAGACCCCCACCTCTACAAAAAATAAAAAATGCAACTTAGGTGTAGCGGCACATGCCTGTGGTCCAGGCTCCTTGGGAAGCTGAGGTGGGAGGATCATTTGGGCCCAGGTGGCTGAAACAGCAAGCTTTGATTGCACCACTGCACTCCAGCCTGGGGAACAAAGTGAGACCCTGTCTCAAAAAAAAAAAAAAAGGTAATTTGGAGAAACAAGAACTAATATATCAAGTATATATTTGTGCTAATTACTACACATTCACATTTAAGCTCATGGCAGCCCTATGATATAGAAGCATTAACCTTATATAATTGAGTGAGGTGAGATCCACAGAGATTAAATAACCTACCCAAAGCCACATCATCAATAAATTGTAGAGTTGGTTTATCAACAGAAATCTAACTTTAAAAATTGTATCTTTCCTATATACTGTGCTGTTTGTGAAAGCAAGAAGCATAATCCAATCATTGAACAGAATCTAATGGATTTATACAGCA